TGAGAATTTATTACAAGCTTGGTAAATTCACCACCTTTGGGTGTATGACCACTATATGACGTACATGTGTCTCTCCATGAACCAATACACAATCACCTCCTTTGGGAGTATGATCATGCACTAGAACAAGAGACATCCCACCACAATATGAGATTGATATTTCTCAAACCCAATTAAGTGTGCCACTTTGGCAGTCACAACTCTATTGAATCAATGAAACTCTCTCATACCAGGGATATAAACTTTACGTCTCACATTCATTATATACATGCAATTTTAGACTTGAAGACAGGGGCAATTTGTCCCTAAAATCACATGCCATGCTAATTACATTGTTCAATTCATTAATAGACAATGAATTACACGCTACACATTCTTTATGTGATAACATTCATGTGAGCTAACCTCTATATTTCCAAAACCATAGAGAAAAACATGAAAATACTTAAAGATACTCTAAAAAATACACATATATAGGGTTCCATGTGTATTTTCACACCCATAAAAGTATAAAAAATATAAAATAAATATACCACACTGTAGAGCATCTCAATACGAGAACATAGGTACCAAGAACACTCCAATCGGAGCCTCCACGTGCCCTCACATGCCTCCACATTGCACGGTGCGTGGAACACACGCGCTTCTGGTTTATTCAGCCTGTTAACCGGTCCAACCGTTGATGGTTTGACCGGTTGCTGGTTCGAACGGGTTATGGTCCGACCAGTTCACCGGTCCGGTCAACGGATGAATTGGTTCGGGTGGGTCAACGGATCGGGGGTCACCCGATCAACCGGGTCGAGCTAACAAGTTGGTTCGGGTCATGTACCTATTCGCGGGTCTCGTATCTTTTTGCTGACGTCGTGATGACGTCAGCTCCCTTGCACGCACTGGGCGCCGCATGCCGCCGCCCATGACGTGGGGCTACGCGTGGGAGTGCATGCAACATCTCCTGGTGGCGTGCCACCCATCAAAACACTTGTCTTGTCGAGTACATTCCATTTATGCAATCAAAATCAATTTTTGAAGAACAAAAAATTCACGAAAATGGGAAAAAACAGTACGTTCGAGTTCTATGCTATAGCTGCTCTGATACCACCTGTTGGTCACAATAAAATGACATATAAGATCTCCATAACTAGAATCTAGAACACATTAATCGAGTAAAAGAGATTTACGCACCTGATTTAGAATCCATCGTTCTTGATGCGAAATAGCGATAATCCTTAGCGCAAGTCTTCTCCTCTATTACCCTCTGTATACTGGTTCAATGAGATTGCCTCTCACAGTTAGCATCTGCTCCTTATGTGAGATCATTTGTATATCCAGGTTAGAGGAGAGACTTAAACTCTATTTATAAAATTTTAAGTCAGGTCCTCTCATCATGGGTCGGGCTTTACTCGACTCACACTAGTCAGTCGTACATTAGACTATTTAAAAATCTTTATATCTTACTTTATTATACCAATCCTGTAAAATGATAAATTACAATATCAATTAATGTAGCCCACATCACAAAAACTCTTACGGATCCTTCGTTGACCAGCCTCAGAATGAAGAAACCCTGCTTTGTCTCATTCACAAAGAATAATGTTAGAAATGGTTGGAGGATCTAGAGACAGTCCTGTCATGCCAACAACCTTTGTCACGACTCCATTGGTCACATAGGACAATTTTTTAATTACAAAATTGACATATGATATGTTCCTGCAAGTCCGACACAAATTGGAGTTTTCTCACATGCTTTGGGGAGTGTCCCATGTCAATCCATAATGTTTTCTTATATGTTTTCTATGGTATGGTAGTCTTCCATCCCATCACACCCGACGGCAGATTTATGGTTCTTGGGGTGGCAACAAGTAATTGGCGAGAAGTTTTACAATATGTCACGATATTGTAAAACTATGTTGATCTTATGAAGTTTCTATATTTAATGACAAGATTTGTCGTAAAGTTATATGATATTCTGGATGTAATAACAGTGCCCGTGTCACATACCTTTAGTGACACCGTTTTATTAAGTTATTTGGGCGATATAGAAGTGTCTAAATGGGTTGTTTAAACATTAAAGGTCATGTGAAGATGAGTTTAAAAACTTAAAGGTTAAGTCAAATTGAGCTTAATGGGTTAAAGTTAGGGGACAAATTTACACTTTAGATATATCACCCAAAAGTTGACACCTTAGTGGTAGGATGGATTCCAGAGTGGATATTAGAGCTCGTATGGCAGGTTTCAGGTTTCGAAATTTTGGAATAGGTGGCTACAGGATAGGTTCCGGAGTTTCGGGTGTAATCCCCCCTGTATCGTGTGCAAGGCACTCTATAAAACTCTACTGAGTATCCTGCATGATATTTCTTAAGTAATTAAATGTGTACTTAATTATTCATGACTTTCTCTTTTCTTTATTTTTCACATTTAGATGTGTGGGGTAATCTCCAACCTCATTTGAAAAAACAATTTTCCAACTCCCCCTCCGGCGTGCGCGCGAAGAGCTTGGCTATGCCTAGGTACAATATATTTTAGTTCCTGCTGCAGTGTAGGAAAGCTTCCTTTTGACTTTCCTGCTTGAAAATTAAATGGTCCTGCAATAGGTATGGACATGAAAATGGGACTTTTCTACAAGTAGTGTGAAAAGATCATCGTATCAATTCGGTGCTTAAGTCAAATACCATGTTCATAAACATTTCCGTCAAAGCTGGAGTAACCGGGTCCGCTGTTAAGCCACATTACTTCAGGGTCCTTGCTAAGATTCCTTTCGAACGCAGTTATCGAAGTTGGAATTCTCTTAGTTAATTAACCGAGCCTGAGGTTGAAATAACGGTTAGGACAATGGCGGAATATGTAACCATGCATGATGTTTAAAGGGTAAAGTGCCATCGACGCGTGTACGTGAGTAATGAGGGATTCACTCGGAGCTGCTCCGACAGCTAAAACAGTCAAAATTAAGCCTAGTATTACACCATAAGTGAAACTGAAGCATAAGTGAAACTGAAGACCTTCATAATTCCAAACAGATGATCAAAGTTCTCCGACTATGACCATACCACGTATTGTTACGAATTATACATAGACAAGACAGGGTGGCGCGGAGGTGATATGGTATGGAATGGGTTTGTGCTCGGAGGTGAGCAGAAGAGGATGATCGAAACACAAGGACATTCACTCCAGCAAGACATGTAGAAGGGAAAATGGAAGGAGAAATAGAAACTAGAAGAGACATACAGATGCTTTTATGCAATCATCGACTGAAGAAATCCAATGTTGTGGACGAGATAAACTGGTGAAAACAATGATAGAAGATATAAGACACAAACAGCAAAGAGAAGACATATATGTAAAGAGCGGTTGGAGACCTTACCATAGCGTTGTTAGATCAATTGAGCACTAAACTAACTCAGCACAACATGGAGCGTGATAATCCATAAGTGAAAGAGTTACACTATCTTCCATGATTTCACAATTTCAAGTCACATTATTGGCGCATCTCCGGCCCTTTTGTGTCTTGGGCATTTCTTAGCTCTTGGAAAGAGGCTTCCTGGCTTTCGGTTTTGCACGCTCGAGATTTTTTTTCGTCCTATCAGCCTTGTACAGAAGTAGAAGCGCTAAGTTATAAAATGTAAACCATTTTGTTAATGATGTGGACAAAAAAGATTGGCCAGAGTCCAAGATAGGCCCCAAAAGAAAATGCAAGGCATCCAACCCTGCAATAAACTTTGAACTTCAGGATATCACTTCTACTGTCTAATAGGTTTTGGTGGCCACAAACTGTTAGTTTAAGCTAGATACTCGAGAAGATTTAGCATTAAGTCAAATGGATTGATTAAGTAAAAGCGCCCCCTGGAGATATCATGAGATACATGATCACCATCAAATGGATTTGAGGAAAAGCTTGAAATGTAAATTAGACAGACAAGCTTTGTGACTCTTCAAAGCTTTGCTGATGAAGATAGTGGAGCACCAATTATAACATGAACCTTTTCTAATGGAGATGGTGGCAATTAAAAAGTTCTATTTTCGTACATGAATATCTCTCTTATTGGCTTTCCCAGGAGGCATTATGTATTTTGTAGTTACGATTATAAGCTATTCCAATTTTCGTCAAATGAATAGATCTCGGTTACCATAACAGAATATGTATATCCTCAAATTAGCAAGTCAATAGTGAAAGTGTAATTTTGGGTGTAATTTTGTTGTTAAAGTCTATGTAGATGTCCGTGATCAATGTGTGACCAAAATTGCTCTCAATGACAGCCAAGTGTCCAAGCAAAAGAATCAATGCTGCTGTTTAGTAGTAGCTAAAGTTCTCCGTAACTATAATTTAGGCTCTGTTTGTTTCGCAAAAAATAAATGACTCGGAACATGTTTTCCTAAAAATGACTGCTCGTATCGTTGACGTGATGTGTGGCGGGCGAGAAGAAGAGGTGCTCAGAGAAGAATAAGGAAATAGGAAAAAAAAAGTAGAAAAAAAAAAGGAAGGAAGGAAGGAAAAAGAAAGAGGGCAAAAAAGAACAGGACACATCCCACCTGTGCAAATTTAATTTGCCAATGTGCCATACTCGCGGCGGCGGTAAGTCGATGTACTGGGTTGAAAGGAAAGAGAGAGAGAGGAAAGGGAAGCTAATCCTTCGGTTGGTATTTGAGTTTCCACTGAAGGAGGTGAATTTAAAATTTAACAAACTCTAGGTTCCCAACCCTTTATGTATTATACACCCACTCATAACTTTAAGTGAATGAATTTCCAGTGGCAATCATACTATAAAAATGGAATTACATCAACCCCTTTAGAAGATAAGATAACTGCAATAAGAAGGTACTTAATAAACTGGTAAACATTAGTCAAGAGTTGATCTTGTCCACAAGAAGCATCTTTATTCAAGAAACCAAACAGATGTTACAAATACTAGAGACTGGAGTTCATCATCTTCATTGTCCCTCTTCACATTATTGTAAGAAATGATGACTTTACAAATGATATTATCAGGCAACATCTCTATCTCTAACTAGGAAGTGAATTTCAGGATTTCCGTATCCTGTTTAAGAAGAATCGTCTCAGCTTCATCCATGGTTATCCATGCATTGATTCCTCCGCTCTCTTCATCGTCGATAAGATAAATTGATTTGAAGTTCGATGGCGCGTTGCTGACGAGAACTGGCCTTCCCCACCCGAAGTCATTCTCATATAGCCCGAACCGGCACCAGCTAGTAAAACCAAACAGACTATCTTTGCCTCTGGCCGCGATTTTGACATATTCGGCTAGAGAATCGCCCACCATCGAGCATAACTCCTCCCCGTCTACTACTGTTGCGTACTTCGTTTTGGCATACGCTATCATGTCGCGCATTACATTTGCCATTCCATTGAACTCCAACTTGCTTTTGCCAGCCGTTGGTTGACCAGATCGCGCCCACACATCAACGACAAGATTGCCACAAGAATTCGCGGGTATTGCCAGATTGATTTTCTCGCGCAAGTTAACTGGTATGCAGACTACGAAAGTCCTTTTTTCGCCATGTTTATTTCGGCAAATATTGAGGAAAGCCTTAACTATTAGTGCCGAAATAACCTCCACCCTTGAATGCTGGGAATCGTTGGCCATCGAATCCTTTGCATTGTCCCTAGCTAAGGCTTTCAGCTTCGATAAAGCATTAGCGCTGAACCTAAACTTACTCATGATGAGTTCCTTGTTGCCATTACGTTGTGGACCAGAGTTTGGAACCGCCAGCTCTTTCGCTGGGAGTAGAGATGACAACTCGAAACTTGGACAGGCTATCGTGTCTACATTACCTCGGCAAGCGGAAGCCCACGAATTGATGAACTTGGCCATGGTGTACATGTCGCCGATCTTGTGTGTAAAGCGCACGCTAATTGCTAATCCGCCACAATCGAACGCATTCACTTGAATCACAACCAACGGATTGCCTACTACGTTGGTCGGGTATTCCGACAAACGAATGAGGAAATCCCTGTCGGGGTCTCCATGGAGAAGCTTATCCATCTGGCCATCCACTTTGGCATGGATGAACTCCACTCCAAGGTCGTTACAGTCAACAAAACAACCATCATCCTCGATATATCTCCCTGCCATAGGATAAAAGAGTGTCAGGGTTTTGGAAAGTGACTCCTCCATTTGGTGAAGCCTTTGAGAAATATCAACTCCTGGGTTCTCAGCATTATCTCTATAGGAGAAGATAACGCCTATGTAAATTGGCTTCTGAAGCCGATCCAGTGATGTTAGCCTCCATTTTCGCCGGTCGTGCTGCGTTGGCGCTGACGGTTTGACCAACTTCCTCCATTGTACTTCCACCTTCATTCTTGGATTGCTTCACAAGACGTGTAGAAGTGCAACTATGGAAGATGTCTAGTGAAACAAGGATGGTGAATATGGTAGTGTGCAAGATCTGTCCAGTGCCAATGCGCGTTTTATAGAGCGCACCAAGACGATATTTTAGTCTTGGAATTAACATGCATCTTAAGACTGCATGTGAGACACTTTTCTTAGTTGTATGTCCTTTTACTATCTCCCACATCAATATTTGTTTTAAGAACAATGTGAGGAACGATGGTATATATTATATCCATCCGAGGTACGATCTAATACTTAATACCTTCTAGACCTATCACATTTTTTGGCCATGTGCACCTCGCCCTATTTTCACCTTCTTATAACATACATGCAGTATTAGTTTCAAAACAATCTGATATTAAATTCAGCTGATGAAGTATATTTGTGAATATTAAAGATTTCCTTATTAGAGAATATTATTAGATATTAGGGATAGTATTTAATATTTCGTTATTTTCTAGTATAGCTAATATCCTTAATAGATTAGATTATTTCCTTTCCTATACATATTGTTCGGATATAAATATTTTTGATTCAAAAAAATTAAATGACAAGCCAATTGAGTAAAGATGTAGTTTTTTTTTATTAATTATCTCCTTCTCTCTTAAAGATCACAGATTATCTACAGCAGCATATTCTAAATTCAAGGAAAAATAAACCTTAAATTTACCTTTTCTAATTACTGGACAAATGAAAAATAAAAGATAAATAGTCGAAATTCAGTCACATCACTCATTTATTAAGCTCATTTAGTAAAAAGAAGTTTGGGATAAATGTGTCACACAGTACAAGTTTTGGGTAAATGTATCACATAGGTACATGTTTGCGGTTTTTTGTGTTACAAAAAATAGTTTATGGTAAATGTGTTATAGTGAGTATAGTTTAGAATTTTTAGTGGTTTTTACCCAAAAAAAGAAAGAGGGAAAAATTAAAACGACAGAACACCACCGCACCTGTACAAATTAATTTGCCAATGTGCCATCCTTTTTTAGTGGAGGTAAAGTTGAGATATAAATATATCGTCTTGAATTAAAATTTAAATCCATATAGTCAAATATATATTTTGGAGTGAAATGTCTTGATTTAGGATAAGGAAGGGGGACATATTAATTGAATTAAGTCTTAAAAGGAAATATTTGCTATTCTAAATTTTGTGCCTCAGCAATGGCCGACAACCGGCCCACATACGAGAGCTGATCGCCGGCGAGGCTCTACTGCTACGTTACCAATTTCCGGCCAAAATAGGCTAGAAACACTAAATTGGCAAATCGTTAAAAGGTTTATGATTAAATTGACACATTTGAAAGGTTTAGGACTAAATTGATCATCGTACAATAAGTTTATGAGTTTTTGGACAATATTCCTCGTAGTACAGACTATGCAGCACAATCGTATTACAAAAACGCCACATGAGAAACAAAAGAACCGACTAACAAGACTTTCTTAGTGAACGTGGACCATGTGTGTGTTATACGCGCCATTTACGTTACATTGAGCCGCTAATGCCCATGAAATAATTTCAGATGATAAATAGTTTCCTAGCTAAGAACCGGCAACTATATGTTCTATTTCATTTTTGTATGACAATTAACTACTTACGCTTGGGCAGTGGAAAGTAGGAGAGTGTAAATTTTAATGGCGGTTTTGACTTTCAATTGCGAAATGACAAAATCCCATGTATTCATTTAAGTTAATTCAAGCAATTATCACAACTTGGTTCAAAGGTAACTAAGTGGAAAGATCAAAAGAAAACTCTCTCCCTAAAAAAATACTATAGACTATAGATATATACATGTTTGCTCTCTACTTTTTTGTTGTGAAGAATATACTTGTAAAACGAGATCAATCTACACGATATAATTTATTTACGCTATATTGTGGATTTGCATCTATATCATCGTCACTCCTTGGCATGTGCATATAGATATACAGGTTGTCAAGTTTCAGATTTTACATGAAAATGGAATTATAGTTACAGAAAGCAAGCAATCGAACAATATAATGGACGGAATAAAAAAATAAATCGGACATTAAATTTATATGGTTCGAAGGTCGTAGTGACTTATGTCAACGGGCAACGAATTCGACTGTAGATCAAGCGATATAATGAAGATTACAATCACACTAGAATCATTAAAATATTTTCGGTGTTTTTTGACTTCCAATTACACTCAATATCTCACACAGTGATTAGTCACACGATTTTTCACAAAATAATCTTTCAATCTCGCAAAAATATTGATAAATATTATCACAAAATTTAATCAACTACAAACATGAGATCTTTGATGTAAAACTCTTTGTGCAGTTCTCCGAAACCCCACTCTGCAACGTTCACGGTGTGGCTTGCAAAACACATGCAAGCTCGAATCTCCGACACAAGCCATTAAACAAATATATATTGTACAGCACCGCCGGAGGGATTTCCAAGTAAGACCAGTCAAAGAAGTCCTACCGAGAGAAAATAGGCAAGCGGATATCAGCATTTCCTTTTTTATTCTTTTATTTCTTTCTTGCGCTGACTTCTAATTGTAGTCTGATTTGCTCGATTCAAGACATCGAGAAACAAAAACTTCAACTTTCGTGGGCTTTCCTTTCTTGTATAGCTTGACCGACTCCAGTAGCAACGAAAAAATAATGTGCCCATCTTTCTTTCTTTTCAATTTCCACGATCAAGAAACATTTTATTCGGGCCGGATTCCCGTCCAACAGGCTCAAACTCAAGACTCATTATAACAATTAGGGTTAATTTCATGAAAAACCCCAAATCTGTACATTTATAACAAACTTATTTCAAATTAATTTTTTGACCACAAAAAATCCAAACTGATACACCTTGGACTAATTTAGCCTTCATTAGTTTTCATTGAATTTTACATTCGAATTACTGAGTTAAATGACATGTGACAGTTGACGTATGTACCAGTTTGGCGTTTTATCCTCCGTATCAGAAGTGATTTCGTAATATTAATCCAATTCAACGAAAACTAACGGGGGAAAAATTTGTTACAGGTGTACTAGTTCAGAGTTTTTTGTTGTCACATGTATATCAGTTTGGGATTTTTTGTGGTATTAACCCTAACAATTATCAAAAGTTAATCTGCTTCACACTAAGTATATTCTATTCTAGCAAGCCATCAATTATTACCAGCTAATCAATTTGTTTCGTAAACACGGGAATTTTGACGTGTATTCGTCCTTCACATGATTAATCAAGGGACCATATGTGCCAATGATCATTTAATTAAATGGTGGTGTGCTAATTCTATCTATGAATGTTCTTATATGACTTAGTTGTTGCTTAATGATGCCTCACATTTGATTTGGCTCTTCCCCCTCTTTCTTATGGAGATCGCCTCCACATGTTGACATAGATGAACAGGATGTCAAGTTTCTGATTTGATATTGAAATGGCAGTACCATAATTCAATGTGCTTCACATTTTTTTTTGGTCGAAATGTGCTTCCCATTAAGTTTATTCTATTGTTTTGAAACTGTCGGTTAGTTTGGCATCATTTTTTTTATCAGCATGTCAGTTAACACCGTACACATGGGGTTTCGATGAGGAATTTTTAGTCACTTGATTAATCGAGTGGCCGTGTGTAATCATTGATCATTTAATTAAATCGTTGGCGTGATAATTCTATCTATTCATTTTTCAGGCACTCATTATGATATTATTCCTCACATCAAACGCAAAAGGCAAGGCAAACATGAGGTTTTTAATGAGGATTCTTTACTCACTAGATTAATCAAGTGGCCATGTGTAATCATCGAATCTTAGCTAAAAGACAGATCACAATAGTCTCATTGCAGCAAAAGAGCACTAAACTAACTCAGCACACCACCAAGCGTGATAGACCTATTGAGATACGCGTATGAATTGTATTTGGAAAAGCCCCACATTGAAGAATTTGTGTGGTGTGAGGTTATTAATATGCCATAGTTGGCTCATAATTCATTGGTATAAACTTTCAAGTAAATGTGAGTTCAACTGAATATATTTACAGATTCGAGACTTAGCATGTTGTTGGGCATTCCCACCAAATGGTATAATAGCTAACGGTTGATTGGTGCACTGGGACAGGTTTTCATCTAAACTCATGGATATAACGATTGGTGCAAGTTGATTTAATTCTTTGTCTTTTCTTCCCTTTTTACTTTTAATGTTATTAACGTTTTAGAATTATGTAACCCCAGGCCTTACCTTTTTCACTCTCCTCTCCAGGGTTCTCTTGTCTCCCTCCTATCTTCATACATCTTTTTTCTTCAACCTTCACGGATGGGGGGTTTAAGCGAGATCTCTCCCTCCCTCCCTTTTTTACTTTTTTTTGGCTGATTTGATTCACTATTCTCTGTTTCTTGTATTCCTCCCATTTTGAGGAGCTTTTCTCTTCTGATCTAGTCTAAGTCTAGAAGTTCCTCTCTTCCGTTTCGGGGAGGCTTTTATCCCAATCTAGTCTAGATTTGAGGTTTTTGTGTATTATAATTTTGGGTTTTCGCTTTCCTCGAGTTTCTTTGGTGTACAAATCTAGTCTCAAAGGAGATCAGAAGAGTTTCGTGAAAGTTTCGCTCTCACAGGCGTCAAATATGTGTGCATTCAACCTTATTACTCTGCACGGCGATGGTGATGGGGACGCCGAACCAAGGCACGCACCAGCGAAAGGCAAAGTCGTAGCAACAGATGAAGATCTTTGTATGTGCTCATTACTGAAGACAAATCTGTTGATCGGCCACTGATTTTGGTTTGAAGAAATCCCAAATCTGCTCTTTGAGCGTATGACCTATAACCTTATTATGATGATTCATCTTCTCATATGGAACTTGTTTTGTTGTCTTGATTTGCAATTGAACTACGTATCTCTATTACATATCCATAGAAATGAATAATATGTTTCTTTGACAAAAAAAAAGTTTTAGAATTATGTTACTATTAGACACGAATATATATGGTCACATGTAATCCATTTATGTGTTATCTTGAATATTCAATATTTTAATAACTAAAATTGAGATAAATTTTATTAAATAAAAAATTGAGAAAAATACATAGTAGTACATGGTATTCTGGAACTCGTGGAATTAACAAGTTCTATATTTTAGGGTCATTCCAAGAGCCTACGGGGGTAGGTTCTTGGTTTCAAAAAATTGGAACCAGTAAATATGAAAAAGTGCAAATACCCCACCCACCTTGGAATTTGCACACTCCTACTAAATACTCCTGTATCACCTCTTCTCCACATTTTTCCTTTTCCTTTTTTTATTATCTGTTTTGAAAATATTTTGAAAAGCTAATATATGAAAGACCGAGGAAAACAAAAACTTAAAAGCCACATCTAAAGAATTTACGAAGAATTCACCTTTAGAGAAGTTCAATTGAATGTAGAGATTGATTGATAGAAAATTCAAAAAGCGAAATTATTCGGATAGTCAAATGATTGATCATTTGTTCAAATTTGAAAAGATCAAACTTTTACATGAGTCAAAACAACACTTTTTGAGGTACAAAATTGGGCAAAAGAACACTACAAGTGCCATAACTTGTGTACGGTGCTCACTTTGGTGCCATAAATTTTTTTTATCACTTTAGTGCTAAAATTTTTGAAAAACGATCACTTAAGTGCTAAAATTTTTCAAAAACGATCGCTTAAATGCCAACTCCGGTGCCGTACATAATTTTTCGACGGAAATCCGACGTGGCATTTTTTTTTATTAATTTCTGAAGCTGACGTGGCTCACCGGAGATTGGCACTTAAGTGATCGTTTTTCAAAAAAATTAGCACTTAAGTGATCGTTTTTCAAAAATTTTAGCACTTAAGTGATCCAAAAAAAACTTTTGACACTTAAGCGATCGTTTTTCCTCCGATTTGGCACTTAAGTGAGCCAGCGAAAACTTTTGATACTAAAGTGAGCGCCGTACACAAGTTATTGCACTTATAGTGTCCTTTTGCCTACAAAATTGTGTCTAAGTATATGTACAGAAAGATAAATAGTTATAATAGAAGAGTGGAGGGTTACCAAATTGGATTTGGAAATTTTCGAGAAACTTATCCAAAAAGTCCTAAATTTATTGCATTTTTATCAATTTAGTTCTAAATATTTTAATTATGCTAATTAAATCCTAAACCTTTTTAATTTTTGCCAATTGAGTCCATCCAGTCAATTTTAGCCGAAAATCGCTGACATGGATGCTAGCCAAACTACGTCGACAACGGTTGTGCCATGTAAGACGGCATTATTGACATTGACAAATTTTAATAATATTTTAATATTTTTCGAATTTTTTTAAAAAAATTTTCCTTTTTTTTCTTTTTTTCTCTTTTCCATTTTTACTTTTTTTCTTACTCTTTTTTCCTTTTCTCTTCTTTTCTTTATTCTTTTTCTCTCTTTTCTTTTTTCTTTTTCCCTTTTCCCTCTGCCGGCCTTGAGCGAGGGCAGCCCTCGCCGGCCCCTGGCAATGATGTGCTGAACATTGCACTCACTGGCGTGATCCATATCTGCTTTGAACCTCTTAACCAGTATTTGCATCTTTTGAGTACTTTCTCTACCAATGGCTAAGCTCAGTTGGGGGTTATCTATGTTAAAAGATGCTCTTGCATTCCTTTCTTTCCAATAAAACTATACTGCAAAGTGATTTACCAAGCATTGAGAATTGGAAAAAGACCGATGTTGCATTAGATTGCAATAGCAGATTTCTATCCTTTAAATAAACAGAACTACTCCATAAAATCACTCTTTTGTATCGTATCCTTCTTAAATAATGTAATCTATGTTTTTACTGAGACACAAAAAATTTTGTGAATCGCCCTTGCTAAAAAGCTAGTTATGAGTAAGAACAAAGTTAGAAGAGCAGCAGTTAGATCGAAATAAACCACTGAGGGCGTGGATAATAAAATCATTGCATTGTTTGGAGCACTAACAAGCAGTAAGCCAGTCATAATGCTCATCGAAATCTGCAAATCTTGTTGTACCCCGGATCTGGAAGTAGCCCTCAAATTGGAGAGTAAGCTTTTCCTTGAGCATCATCATTCTAGAACTTGATATATCCAGGTGAAGTCGCGCAAGTTTCTACCGTCCTCACTGGAGGTTGTTTGCAGATGCGACGAGCACCAGTAATATAATACTTTTAGAAATTGATGCAATGGTGGCATTTAGCGACAACTGATTCTGACAAACCCGATGTTGCACAAGCTGGGCTCACTGTTTGTGGCTTTCCTTCAGCTCACTGCGATTGTACAAGGAGCACAAGGGAGTATGCCATTGATATACCCAAGTAAGTCGGGAAAGTGTCAAAAAAGTCATAAGCATATTGCATTGATGCCAATTCAATCCTAACCTTTTTTTTGTGCCAATTCAGTCATAAATCTTTCGAACTAGTGCCAATTCAGTCATTCCGGCTAATTTTGGCCAAATATTGCTAACGTGAATGCTGGCCGGCCTACTTGGTACCGTTGGCGCTGACGCAGATAATTTTTAATAATATTTTAATATTTTTTCTGATTTTTTTTTTCTTTCTTCCTCCCCTTGTCGGTGACCGGCCACAAGCAATGGTCAGCCACCGGCCATGGCCGGGCGGGCTGCCCCTGCCTGGGCAAGGACCGTCGTTACCCGGCCAGGCTAGGCGAGCCCCAACAAGGGCTCGCCTCGACAGATCTGGCGAGGCTGGCCTCGCCCAAGCCACGGTGGCCTCACCGGGTGTCGCCTTGGCAAGAGCAATGGCCGGTGAGGCCGTCCTGGCCTGGGCTAGGGCGACCCTCGATTGCACGAGGGCGAGCCCTGGCGAGGCTTCCCTCGCCCAGGCCGCCGTGCCCTAGGTGAGGGTTGGCCTCTCCAGATTTGGCAAGGGGAGCCCTCGCCAGGGCTCGCTCAACCTAGCCAGGGGTCACCCAATCCACGTCGAGGCTCGCCTGACTGAGTAACAACGACCCTCGCCCAGGCGAGGGCAGCCCACCTGGCCATGGCCGGTGGCCGGTCACCAACAAAGGGAGGAAGGGAGAAAGAAAGAAAAGAAAAGAAAAAAATAGAAAAAGATAATTAAAAAATCGAAAAAAATATTAAAATATTATTAAAAATTATTCACGTTAGCGCTGACGGTGCCACGTAGGCCGACTGGCATCCACGTCAGCAAAATCCAGCCAAAATTAGCCAGAAAGATTGAATTGGCATTAGTTCAAAAGATTTAGAACTGAATTGGTACCAAAAAAAAGTTTACGACTAAATTGGCATAAATGCACTAGGTTTATGACTTTTTTGATACTTTTCCCCAAGTAAGTCATATCTAATCAACCAAGTATGAAATTGGGCATGCCAGTATGGAACATCGGTAGTCATAAGCTAAGTGGTAATTGGGCAAAACATTCATCAAGATGAAATTTGATGTAAGGATTGATTATAGATGTTTACTTGTTTTTTTCAGCCATGATAGATTAGGAGCAAGAAAATTCGTTTGGCATCGCGGAAGCACTATTCCTTGGATACCATAAACGATACAGGGTTTTGGGTTCTAAGGGATCTTCATTGTATTGCCTCACAAGATTTGATGCGTGATTTTAAATTACAACAACACCTATTAGCCTAACCCGAAGATCAGTAATAAGTACATAAAGTCACAAAGTATAGCAAGAATGAGTGCATGATTAGGGAGGATTACATCGGTCGAACTTTACCGGGTGCAATAACAAAAGCTCATTTCTTCTAGTCTCTTTGGAGACAATGAACAAAAGTTTGAAACTGATCTCTCCCTATGTTAGAATGCAAACCAAATTCAAGTCGGTTGTGTTAAGAGCAGTGGACAACTTAAGAAACTGCAAAGCCCAGATTTTATTGAAAACTTGATGAACTTTTTGAGTACATGTTCTATTTGTCCCGCTCTTAGCCTAAACGGTAGAAGGATTTCAATTCAGTAAACCAGAGGCAATGTAGTCATGCCATATTGGTTTTCCATCAAACCAACGAGTATAGGAGTCCCATGATTCCTGTGGCTTGAACTGAGGGACCGTATGGCCCGCTCCCTGCACCGATGACAAAAGGACTATAATTGGCATCACGCAAGGAGATGATTAATACAATGAACGGCACATGTGCAAATAGAAATTGATCGGCTTGAGTGCATTCCAGTAAAACAGAGAATGGAATTGCTTATTTGCCATGAAAGTGAAACAAAGGGGTTTTATCTTCGGTATCAACTACCCAGTGGTCAGGATTTGTGAATTCGAAGTTCAAATAGCTCATCTTCAAACATTATACAAAACTAGTTCGTTAAAGATAAATTGAGCTTCTCAGTAGGATTTAAACACAGACAGCTTTCAATTTGTCCTAGACATTGAGGAAGAACTTTTGACATTGTTTTGTACACTGACACATCTTTCATCCACAGAGATCAAGTAAATATTATCGGCATTATTCTATCGCTTTGTGCCACATTCCAGTTGTTTTGACGGAGCAACCAAAATATGCAGAAAACAGCACACTCGTCATGATGATGTCGTGACCTTGTTCTGTCTTTTCGTATAGCGAATTGTGAGTCTTAAGATATGATTGGTAAGAAAGTTCATTGGTTCCTGACCTTGATAGTTACAAATGTGAGGTTTTGTGGTCATACCCTTGCAGATACCTGAAACAAGTTGGAAAAAGCTTCAATGCTTAGAGCAGTATAGCATAATCACCCACAATGGCCTGTGAGTGAGCGATTTCGACATTTCTACTATTTGAAGGTGAGTACTCGTCAGTAAGATCATACTTTGCAAGTGCCAAGTGTTACGAAAATTCAAATCGGCATTAGCATAAATATTACAAACAATACAGTATTGTAAAGAAACGAAATTGCAATAACAAAGTTGGAATCGATACAAATGAATACCGAGGCTGTGTTTGACACGGTTTCCTTAAAACAGATTCGTTCCCTCCAAGTGCGCGACCGAGGAGGTTTCGTGAACGTCCTGTCTCCCAGGATACAACGGTTGGCAGCGAAGAAGAGAGCACGGCACTTCCAAGCTTCCGCGAACTTGAACAAACTCGAAATGAACACTACCGAAAAACAGTGCAAATGAGAGCGTGTAAAAACAGAGGAATAATGATTTCGATAAAAATAGAACGCAGGGAGAGGAGAGCATTTGGGAATAATAACAGCCGATTAAATCTGTCGTTACAAAATCAATACGAATAACGGACGATTAATTCTGCCGTTATAAAATCAATACAAATAACGGACGATTAATTCTGCCGTTATAAAATCAATACGAATAACGGACGATTAATTCTGCCGTTATAAAATCAATACGAATAACGGACGATTAATTCTGCCGTTATAAAATCAATACGCATGGGAATAACGGTTGATTAAATGCGCCGCACGTTACGAAATTCGTAACAGTTTGAGTTGAAAAATAAATCGAAGGCAAAATTGGGCTCATCGCGAGGCCCACTTTTCGGTCCTGCAATCGTGTACGCGGGATGTGCGCTCGCGCCCAAGTTTCAACTTGTCGGGCGTCGGATTTGCACCCTGCAGCCTGCGCGCGAGGCGAGAGTTTGTGCTATGATAATTACCACTTCAAATAAGTGTAAGCTGTATATAAAGCACTCCATAGCCTTCTTTCTTTTCCGATGTGGGAATAGTGTTTTTCCTCTTCCCACTTCCAACTCAAGGGTGTTCTTTGAGCATCAATTTCTCATTCATTCACCCATCAATTTATCCCATATTTCCAACAATCCCCCACATGAATGAAAATTGTTTTAGTTTTGACTCTGTGATAGTGTTCAACAATTGAAACCTACATAGGATAGGTAGGTATTACCCTTTGAACCTTCCCTTGTGAAAGTATATTTACTTTACTAGTTGTCCAGTAGACATGATGTCCTTGAAGCATTCGGCTTTCTTATGTAAATGAACCATACACTTCACAGGAATCATCTAAACGTTTGTTCGGTTCTCATAGTTATGTTCGTTTTGGCCATGAACATCAACCTGGTTCTCAAGAGTTTCTAAAGAATTTAGCCCTTAAATAATTCTCCTTGAAGCGGCCCCACTTCTCTCTCACATAGGTGATTACTTAATTTTGAGTAATTTGTTTACTCCACTTAAGAATCATTAAAGCAAAATGCTATCCTTTCCATTACAATATCACTTTGTTATTTTATATAGGAATGGTTTTAGGGATAACCCCACAAAGTGATATCACTAAGTTTATATAATTAGGTTGTCCCTTTGAACCTAGATCTTGGGATCTCCAGTCAACTAGGTTGGGTTTCCTTTATACCAACTTATTCTTTCATGGGCTTCGGTCCCATTCCTCTTGTCGATTTCTCAACTAACTCTCTGTTTAACCCTTTGGTTAGCGGATCCGCAATATTATCCCTTGACTTTACGTAGTCAATAGAGATAATTCTGTTGAGAGTAGTTGTCTAATGGTATTATGTCTACGACGTATATGTCTAGACTTACCATTATACATATTACTCGTGCTCTTCCAATCGCAGATTGACTATCACAATATATACTTATTGGTGGCACGGGTTTTGCCATTTTGGAATATCCTCTAAGAAATGGCGTAGCCATTCGGCCTCTTCACCACATTTATCTAATGCTATAAATTCAAATTCCATTGTGGATGCTATAACAGTTTGTTTGGGATTTCCAAGATAGAGGCACTCTGCTAGTGTGAATACATATCCACTAGTAGATTTTGAGTCTTTTATATCGAGATATCCGGTTCGCATCACTATATCCTTCGAGGCATTTGGGTATCCGGTATAATGCAGCCATAATTCGAGTATATCGTAAGTACCTGAATACTCTCACTATTGCTTTCCAATGGTCGGCACTCGGATTGCTTGTATATCTACTTAATTTACCAACCGTATAGGCAATGTCCGGTCTAGTACAACTCATTAAGTACATTAGACTTCCAACAACTCTAGAGTACTCTACTTGAGAAATACCCTCTCCTCTATTCTTGGAAAGATGAAGACTATTGTCTAATGGTGTTCTAGCAATACCGGAATCATTCATGTTGAATTTTTCAAGAATCTTGTCCACATAGTGTATTGGTTTAAAATAAGACCTTCGATGTTCTTGTGATTTTAATTCCTAAAATCATATCGGTAGGTCCCATATCTTTCATGTCAAATCTTGAATTCAACATATACTTGGTAGATTTGATCATTTTATCATCACTACCAACAATTAGTATGTCATCTACGTAAAGACACAAAATGACATAGCCATTTGTCGTCTCTTTAATGTAGACACATTTATCACATTCATTGATCTTAAAACCATTGGTAATCATTGCATTATCAAACTTTTCATGTCATCTTTGCTTTGGTGCTTGTTTTAGGCCATACAATGATTTCACCAATTTGAGACTTTCCTTTCTTGTCCTGGAACTATAAAACCCTCGGGTTGTTCCATGTATATTTCTTCATCCAAATCACCATTTAGGAAAGTTTGTTTTTACATCCATTTGATGTACTTCGAGATTTCGCAATGCTGCAATTGCAAGTATCATCCTAATGGAAGTTATTCTCGTCACGGGAGAATAAGTATCGAAGTAATCTAAGCCTTCTCGTTGTTTGTATCCTCGATCACAAGTCGGCTTTGTACTTATCAACAGAGCCATCTGCTTTCATTTTCCTTTTAAAAATCCATTTGGACTTTAAAGGCTTACAACTGGGAGAAAGATTCACTAGCTCCCAAGTATGATTCTGCAAAATAGAATCAACTTCACTTTTTATTGCTTCTTTCCAAAGAGGTCCCTCGGAAGAATTTACAGCTTACGCATAATTTAATGGTTCCTTTTCTAACAAATAAGTTAGAAAATCATTTCCAAAAGATTTTTCCACTCTTGCTCTTTTGCTACGTCTCGGTTCTAGTTCATGATCGAGTCATGAATTTCATGAGCCGAATCGTGACTTTCTTCATTCATAGTTTCATTCTTTCGTTTAGATGAACTTGATCCATCATTGGATTTACAAGGAAATACATTTTCAAAGAATGATGCATTCCTAGATTCCATGATCGTATTCTTGTGTATAACGGAATTTTAGATTCATGTACAAGAAATCGATATGCATTACTGTTATGTGCATAGCCTATAAAGATACGATCCATTGTTTTAGGACCTATCTTTGTCTTCTTTGGTGTTGGAACCGCCACTTTTGCAAGACACCCCCACACTCGCAAGTGTTTGTAGGATGGTCTCCTACCTTTCCATAACTCATAAGGGGTTTTATCCTCTTTCTTTCGAGGTACCTTATTTAAAAGGTAATTGCTTGACAATATAGCTTCTCCCCACATATTTTGAGACAAACCTGAATTTAGTAATATCGCGTTCATCATTTCTTTCAATGTGCGATTTTTACGTTCAGCAACACCATTTGATTGAGGAGAGTAAGGCGCAGTTATTTCATGTATAATTCCGTGTTGTGCACGAAATTCACCAATTGGTACTTCGTACTCGCCACCTCTATCACTTCTCAATCTTTTAATTCTCTTATTAAGTTGATTTTCAACTTCATTCTTATAGAGAATAAATTTCTCTAAGGCTTCATCTTTGCTTTTAAGCAAATACACATAACAGTATTTAGTGTTATCATCGATAAAGGTAATAAAATATTTATTACCACCTCTCGTTGTACGAATTTCAAATCGCAAACATCACTATGAATTAATTCAAGGGGTTCGGTGTTTCTTTCAATTGTTTGAAATGATGATCTCGTTAATTTTGCCTCAACACAAATTTCACATTTATGTTTTGAATCAATTTGAAATGAAGGTATATGTTCCAAGTTAATTAATCTACGCAATGTATCATAATTAACGTGTCCTAGTCTACCATGCCATAAATTGGAAGACTCAAGCAAATAAACGGAAGACTTATTATCTTTATTGATAATTGTCATTACATTGAGCTTAAAAAGCCCATCGTTACATATCCCTTCCCACATACATTCGGATTTAGACAAAATAACTTTATCTCGACTCAAATACCATACGAAATCCATGCTTGTTCAACGAGACCCGAAACCAGGTTCTTTCGATTTCGGCACATAAAGAACATTGTTGAGAGTTAGCTCTTTTCCGAGGTCATCTTCAGCAACACCTTCCCTTGGCCTTCGATGAGAAGAGGCGAGTTTCCCATAAAAACCTTTTCCCCATTAATTGGTTCAAGATTTGTGAAAGTGTCCTTATTGGAGCATATGTGCCTAGTAGCACCGGTGTCAATCCACCATTCCTTCGGATTGGACCCAACTAAGTTTACTTGAAACCATTGCGTAAAGGTTTATGTTTGACACGTCTTGAGCGATGCCACTCACAATATTTGTCTCATAATTCTTCTTCTTCAGTCTCGCATTCCATAGATCTATGCCCCATTTTACCACGTTGAAGCATTTTCCTTGAAACTTGTTCTTGGAAACTCCTCCTTTTGGTCCCAACTTTGGCTTGGCAATCTTCTTGTTCTTGTGGCCTTGCCTAAGCTCCACAACATTTGCCTTAGTCTGTAGTCGGATTGAACCCTTTGCGTTCAAATCCTCTATTGTCTTCTTCAATTCGAAGTCTAACAATCGGCTCTTCCGGGTTCATTTCCTTTCGCTTATGCTTGAGATAGTTTTTGAAATCCTTTCACCCGGAGGTAGCTTTTCAATAATAGCAGCCACTTGGAAGGTTTCACTCAAGATCATTCCCTCCCAGAATTTCATGCAAGATCACTTGAATTTCTTGCACTTGACTGATCACGGTTTTAAAGTCCACCATCTTATAATCAAGGAATCGATCGACAACAAATTTCTTTGCTCCGGCATCCTCTGTTTTATATTTTCGGTCCAAGGCTTCCCATAACTCCTTTGCGTCGTTTTTGCACAATAGACATTGTACAATGAGTCATGTAGGCCATTCATGACATAGTTCCGACACGGGAAGTCGAGTGCTTCCATGCTTCAACGGCGTTGAAGACTTGCTTATCCGTTTCTTCATTGGATAACTTAGGAGCTTCCTCGAGTCAAGAATCTCGCAAGATTCAAGGTTGTTAAATAAAACAGCATCTTTTCTTTGCCACCTTTTAAAGTTCGATCCGTCGAACTTTTCGGGTTTCTCACCATGGTGGACGAAAACAGAAGGAACAGAGGATGAGGCGGTTGGACGGCGAGGCATAGGCGAGTTTTTGGCGATGTTGTCGCAGCCACATCGACACCATCGTTTCCTGCAGCCACATCCACGACTTCTTTACCAGTAGCCATTTGAATTTGTAAAAGCGCGAATCTGTTTTAAGATTGTTACGAAAATTCAAATCGGCATTAGCATAAATATTACAAACAATACGAGTATTGTAAAGAAACGAAATTGCAATAATAAAGTTGGAATCGATACAAATGAATACCGAGGCTGTGTTTGACACGGTTTCCTTAAAAATGTTCGTTCCCTCCGAAGACGCGACCGAGGTTTCGTGAACGTCGTCTCACGAGGATACAACGGTTGACAGCGAAGAAGAGAGCGGGGGCACTTCCAAGCTTCGGCGAACTTGAACAAACTCGAAATGAACACTACCTAAAAACAAGGTAAATGCGAGAGCGTGTAAAAACAGAGGAATAATGATTTCGATAAAAATAGAACGCAGGGGAGAGGGAGAGCATTTCGGGAATAATAACGGCCGATTAAATCTGCCGTTACAAAATCAATACGAATAACGGACGATTAATTCTGACGTTACGAAATTCGTAACAGTTTGAGTTGAAAAAATAAATTAGAAGGCAAAATTGGGCTCATCGCGAGGCCCACTTTTCGGTCCCGCAATCGTGTACGCGGGATGTGCGCTCGCGCCTAAGTTTCAACTTGTCGGGTGTCGGATTTGCACCCCTCGCGCTGCGCGCGAGCGAAGAGAGTTTGTGCTATGATAATTACCACTTCAAATAAGTGTAACTGTATATAAAGCACTCCATAGCCTTCTTTCTTTTCCGATGTGGGAATAGTGTTTTTCCTCTTCCCACTTCCAACTCAAGGGTGTTTTTTGAGCATCAATTTCTCATTCATTCACCCATCAATTTATCCCATATTTCCAACACCAAGTAGTACTGCAAAAGACGGGCTGAAGTAAGAACTTACCCAGCGACCTGCTCGTTGGAGATTTACGACCTCCATTCGTCGACAATTTTGCATCCGAGTGACCTGGTCCATGCTTCAGTGCCAGTGTAAAGGTACGCGTGAATCATGATCTCCACTGAGAACAGATAAAGAACGTCAATTAATGACAATTAAATGAAAAAGACGCGACCATTATACAAAGATTGAGGTAATGAATTTGTTGGACATCACTACACAACTTATTATGCATCTAAACAGCATCAAATAGGTTAACTGATAAGTTAAAGTTACATCAATCCAATTAGGAATAGCATGGCAAGAAGAGATATCTCTGTAATGCAGAGGGCATGATTATCACATTTCACCTGTATATAAGTGCCCTGTATCCCTCAGAAATCAAACTTTCGTGATACTATCAGCGCATATCTCTCAAGGCCCCGCCACACTTGCCTATTACGTGTAAATTAAGCATATGTCCGATTAAATAACTGGAAGCTCGATATTTATTTGGCAAACGAAAGCAAACAATTCAACATATTGCCGATGCTGCGTGGAGCTTCTTGAACTGCTTCGGCATTTAACCATGCGATTGCGATGACTTCTCTTGACTGCTTGAGTGGTCTTTTTAGGTTGTCCATCTAATCATCTGAGTGGGTTTATAGGTGACTTCTCTTGACTACCTTAGTAGGTTTTCGGGTTGTCTATCCAATCATCTAAGTGAGTTCCCAGATGACTTTTTCTCAACTACTTGAGTGGGTAGGACCAATAATCTAAGTGGGTTGACAGATAACTTTTCTCAACTACCTGAGTGGGTTTCTAGATTAGTTATCTAAATATCTGAGTGGATTTCCAGATAACTTTCCAGAAATTTTCAAGCCTTTCAAATATCTGGGTGGGATTCCAAATACTTGGCAGGTATTCAAAAACTGTTCCGTACCCCTAGTTTATTTTCCCGAATCTTCATGTAAGTAACTGCAAAAATGTTTTCTATCTTTGCATTAACATTTTCATTTTCATATCATATTAGAAAATAGGTGTGGACTCATTGAGATCCATATCCTAACAAAAAAAAAAAATCATCACATTGTATTCACAATAATCAAAATTTAGGTATCATTTTTATCTTTGAACAAAACCTCTTTGAGCTCAGCTGTTGACACCTAAATTCTAGCGATCAATTTAGGTATTTATTATATATAAAAATTAGGAATCGATTGTGACTCAAAAACAAAAAGATCAGTTAAATTGCATACAGATTATTATGAGTATTTTAATATTTATCGGACCGGCGATGAATGGACTCAAGTGAGGGAAGTTTTGAGCTTAACCGCAGCGCGTAAGATTTTGTCAAACCTACGATGTGACCAAAGCATGCGGATATATATGATTTTAAATAAGGGTTAAAAAATATATGGAGATCTTTATTGGGCGCCAAATATTCGGTCAACATGAAGGAGCAGGAAGGCTGACCATTCTATGAGCATGTTTACGGCAATATTGGGTCCAGCTTGAAGGAAGATGCAGGATGACTTTCTGTTGGAGAGAACCGGGCCAACAATTCACCAAGAACCAAGCCCAATCAAAGATAAATATGTCTCTCACAATTAAATCGATCGAAATCAACTTAATCCTAACAATAACTAATAATATTCTAGCAATATAAGGAGACAAATGCAACGACACCAAGATTTAACATGAAAATCCAATGAGGGAAAAATCACGGACCGTCCCAAAATCTTCCACTAATCGCCAAGAATAATATAATACACAAAGTTCTTATCTAGTCACACACTAGAGGCACAACATCAATAATACATCAATATTTCCATCACCAAAAAGTAGATTTACAAAAATGAAGAAAAAAAATCCTAATCGCGAATGGAGAGTTCGAAGGAGATTCTCAACGAACGAAACCGATCAACTCATAGCCCTCGGTCCCACGAACAACATACTGAAATTTGACCCAATTCCAATAACGTTTGCCCTCGAATCGGAATCACAAGGCTCAGTCCCTTTTCTTCCTTTTTCTCCCCTGTTCTCTGGATGCTTTTGTTGCCTTTTTTGACTTTTTGACTTTTCTTCTTTTCTCTTTATTTTAGTCGGCTGGGCCCCACTAATGAGGCGGACCCAGCCCAGCCAACACTTTCCACTATCAACTCCATCATCTCTCCATGAATTAATAGGAAAATCGAGGCATATAAAAAAGAAAAGATAGAAACGAGCAAGCCGACGAATTTCGGTGGCGCCGCCTGTCTCCTGGCCTCATCCTGTCACGCCTGTGAAGCTGCTCCAACTCCGGCGATCCTCCCTGACGTTCCCAGCTCGCTGCTCAGCCCGGCCGTGACGTCATTCCATGCCAAGCCGCGCTTGACGTCTCCCTGCGCCGGTTTCCTTCACAGCCGCTGCTGCTGTCCACGACACGTTCTTCCTTAGACCGACGATCCCACAGCAATTCCGGCGATCTTTCAGTCCAGTGCGGTCATCCGATGACACCAGCAACGTCCAGCCTTGTGCCTCTGCTCCCGCCGCAACTCCCTGTGCTGCCTTGAGTTGCGACACCTCCGAGCCGTTAGCTATTCCAGCCCTGGTCAGAGCAGTGAGGAGACTCTCCTTGGTGTTCTTGGTTCAGTTTTGTGCAGGTTTTCTCTAGTTACCGAGTTTCCTCAAGACGTATCCCTAAGCAAAGCCGGAACCCACTCCTTGCCAAGCTGTGAATTTCACTGGTTATTAAGAGTACCGCCGCGAGCCATCCAGCAAACCTTGACCATGCTCCCTTTGGCCGAGGTACCATCCGTGAGTCCCACCTTGCCCTGAATCCGAGCCGATTCCATTGAAGTTCAAATTTGGCAACATTATCCACAAAATTAGGTAAAATACCATCCAAATTTGATTAGGATATTTTATTACCTAATATATATTTATCAATATCTAACATGCATATTTTGAGTGATAGATATATATCGATTCGGATTTATCTCCTAGTCCGCAACACGATATAATCTTTTTAATCCATCTATGAGCCCTTAGATAAAATTATTAGATTGTGCGGTTAGAAAATTTATCTTGATCTTTAAGCCTTAAGATTAGGATATTGACTCTATTTTTGCAAAAATTACAAGTTGAGATGATGTTTTCAATTTTGAATTGTCGTTATATTTGGTGGATGATATTTTGCTTATCTTTGATTACTTTCTTCATTTATAAAAATTACAAAACTTGCATCATAGGTTAGATTTCATGTTAGGGTGGATTCTAGAATAAATTAGAATAGACTTTTAGATAGATTTCTCCTTAACATATAGGATAATTTAGATAACTAGTATTGCATACCCCTAGCTACGATGGGGCATATATTGGCCCGCCTCCCTTTTCCACAAAACACAGAAAAAGATTTACTCCTCAATCACCAATCACAATGAAAACGCCACAATTCTCCGACAGCTTTCTACCAGGCATGAAAACAAACGCTTTGTGTGTACTCAATTACACAAAACATGTAGAACCACATACACCTCGCCTCAAAATATTTGTATAAAATCATCTATTAAACTAATCAAGCAATCCCGTAACAGCACCAAAAGTATCACCATACTCCAGTTCAAAGGAGTAAATGGGGACTAACTTCAGCAATCAAAGTAACGGGGAAACACTCGAGCACCGGCATCACCGAGCTCCAACAAGTCGATGCTGAAGGAGCATCTCCTTCATTGGCACGCAACCAGCAAAGAACATGACAGCACGAACGAAACAGATCGTCCTCGTTACGGTCAGGGGGTAGTCAGCGACCTTGAATGAGAAATGGATGAAGAAGGAAATCAGTGAAGTTGATGCGATGAAGAAGGAGAAAACTCCAATGAAGTGGATGTTGGGGGAAAATCAAGTAATCGAGAAGAAGAATGGAATCAGACTTTGAAGCATGATAACACTCTCTTTAAGAAATTATTTGCCCCACAAATGTTGCTAATGGTTACTGGCAAAAGTTTTCCATGATACAACAAAGTCTCAATGAGAATACCAGATAGCATAGGACTCTCAAAAAAGAAACAATTGAAAACAATGATTGTATATGAAACAAACGAAAAATGGAAGAAGATGATCTATTGAACAGAAAAATATGTATGAACAAATACGACCTTTGAAAGGTTGTATCTATCTGAAATAACCACTAATAGGTAACCGCCAAGTGGGACAATGCACCTCTTTGTTTGTTTTACAAACAAACTACTAACAATCCCCTACTTGATTTGTAAAACAAAAATAAAATAAAATTTTAAAAATATACGGCCCAAATTTTCACAAGATTAATATGCGTAATAATAGAATCGAACAAACCGCACATATACTAACATTTTGTTTGAATGAGAAGTTCTATAATTTACTAAACACTATTATGGCCTTGTGATTGTTCCTATTTCATTAACTCTCTAGAAAGTAACCCTAACTTTCGTGAGAAGTGGCACCACTTCTAAACTCACATAGGTGAAGTATCTACCATGTGTTTCTATTACTAATAAACACATTACTAAATTGCATTATACTTCATTAAGAATATAACTCAGCCTACATAACGTAACAGACGATACTGACTTCTCATATCCAAGCTCATGTCAATATCAAACAATCACTTTCTGTAACTTGTTCTTACCCATTAAACCTTATAACTAGTAATATAATAGTATTAAGTTGAGTTACCATTACTAATGATTTTGGTCAAAGGGTTTTAGCCCCATTTCTTTTGAGGTCATCTTTACCACATCTCTTGGTAAAGCCTTTGTAAAGGGATCAGCTAGATTCTTGCTTGACCTCACATAGACAATTGTTATGGTACCATCTTGAATCAATTGTCTCACATAATCGTATCTTAGATTGATATGTCTAGACTTGCCCTAATAAGTACTACTATAAGCTCTTGCCATAGTAACCTGACTATCACAATGGATAGAAATAGGAGGCATAGGACTAGACCACAATTTGATGTCCACTAACAAATTTCTAATCCATTCAGCCTCTTTCCCAGTTGTTGCTAAAGCAATGAATTCAAATTCTATTGTTGAGTGAGTTATACATGTTTGTTTATTGCTTGCCCAAGATATAGCACATCCACCTAATGTGAAAATCCATCAGGAAGTTGAATGTTTGTCATCCACACTAGTGATCCAACTAGCATCGGTGTATCCTACTAATACAACCGGATAATCATTATAAAACAATCACAAATATTTAGTTCTCTTCAGATAATAAAAAATTCCAGTAATAGCATTCCAAATTACTTGGATTACTAGTATATCTACTCAACTTACACATGGAGAAAAGCAATATCAAGTCTAGTACAATGCATTGCATACATTAAAGACTCTATAGAACTCGCCTATTCAAGTTGTGCTATTGCTCTACCATTATTATAATTCAATTG